CCGGCTGTATGGATCTCGCTGAAATTTGGCATAGATGTAGAACACAGCCTGGAAGAACACATAGTCTACTAATTACGTTTTTTTAATCTCGCGCGGCGAAAGTCGCGGGCGATAGGTAGTAATAAAAATATTATAATTACATTTAACAAACAATTGGAATGCATTGAAACTTTTGAAGATGATTTAAATTTGTAGTATCATCATCAGCCTAGATTTATCCTCTGCTGGATGTAGATCTCCTCCATCGATTGTCACAATGGCCGGTCCTTGGCCGGTCCTGTGCCGCCCGCATCCAGTGCACTGCCGCAACCTTGACCAGGTCATCGGTCCATCGTGCGGGAGGCCTACCTACGCTGCATCGACCTGTCCGCGGCCGCTACTCTAGGACTTTTCAGCCCCATCGGCCGTCCGTTCTGCGGGCTGTGTGGCCGGCGCTTCGCCACTTAAGGTTTGCAATTCTTCAGGCGATGTCGGTTACTTTGGTTCTGCTACGGATCGCATTTCTGACGCGATCTCTCAGAGAGACTTGTAGTATATAGAAGTAAAATAATTTGTGATTTAATTTCACTCACTGTGATTTAACTTCACGCATTTTGCGTGTAGTTGTATACTTAGGAATGCTTTAGTTAATTTCGTGTTTATATTCTGAAACAACTCTATCAGTGGTATGAGGAAAAAAATACTTGATATGTTGCGATAGAGTAAACAATCAGGTCACAGTATTAATGAAAGTCAATCACTTCAGACGCGTCCCTGTTGTATAATATAGCTGAACGGACGTCCTACTGACTTTATTGCTCTTATATAAAAGGAGTACTCTATTTTAATTGCATTTATCAACTTCTAACTAATATTATAAAAGTGAAAGTTTAGATGGAAGTTTGTTAGATGGTTTCTCTGTAGAACATAGCCTGGAAGAACACATAGGCTTATATTTTTTTTTAATTTCGCGCGTAAGGAATCTCGAGTGATAGCTATTTAAGTTATAAAAAACAATGTATGCTAGTACCCTTTTTTTTATGGTCAGGAAATGCATTTACGGACGCCTACGCCGGGCGGTGCAATGGCGTAGGGAGTGTGGGACTCGCCGGCCACAGAAGGTGACCAGAATACCCACTAAAACCTGACTGCCCTCTGACGCATTATGGCGGGCACCACGGGAACGCTTTAGCTTACTTCCGTGGGCCCGCCAATGTATGCTAGTACCCGTGTTTAGTGGAATTAATCAAATCATCTTATATGATGTGACCCTCGTAAACAATGAAGGGTCACGCTGTTAAAACGGAGTGTTTAAATTACATACATTAATCTTACTCATATAAATGCGAATATTTGGATGGATGGATGTTTGCTTGTTGTGTCTGGAACAGCTGCATTCATCTCGCTGAAAGGAATAGCTGTAGAACATAGCCTTGGAGAACACATTGGCTATTAATTTTTTTAAAGACGCGCGGGTGTAATCGCGGGCGACAACTTTTAATACTTCAATAAATTAAATAACCTTACAGTTATTTATTTAACTACTCCTTCTACATTCCAATTAAAGTTAAAAGCTTTCAACATCCTTTTCAGAACGTTTCGTGAACACAATTTTAAATATTCACAATTGCATTTGCATTCGCAAAACGTTGTTTATTTAAAACGATTTAATATTCATGAAATCATAGTAGTGTTTGTTCACATAACACATTAAGTTATGTCCGAGCATAAATAAAGTCAGTAATTTAATATACACAAACAGATTTCGACAAATATTTTTTTTTATATCATAAGGTCGTAAACGAGCGAGCGGCCACCTGAAATCGCTGAAATAGCGAAGTGACCGTTGCCCATAGATATACGCAATTGCATATGCGTTGCCTACCTTTAATCGACAGAGGAGACGATGCACAGAAAGAAAATATCTTCCCTTTCCATGCATCCTCTCATCCGGAAAGTCCACTTCCACTTCGCATCCTTTCCTTATAAAGAAAAGCATGGGAAGGGAAAGAGGACTGAATTAGGCCTCCGGGACGCACACTCATCAGACTGTACGCGGAATTGCTTCCACTTGACGCCTGTCTTCTGTGTGCTCGTGGTATATCACCGGGCGAGCCAGCTAGATAACCTTGAGTGCCGACTTCTATAACAAGTTTAGAGTTCCTTCATATTTGTCGGATGTCGAATATACAGTATGCTACGAACTATCGAAAATTGGTCTTCTAATAGAATCAATCGAACAAATACGTAGTTCAACTTAGGTATTTTATAACTTGTTTAATTTACAGATATTTGGCTAGGTCTCGTACAATTATCTAAAAAAAACGTTAAATATATTTCTTTTTATTTTTTAACATATCAATTTTTGGTTTATTTATTTATTTATGTAATTTTGAAGCATAAAGTAGGAATACAAAGGAACAATTCATATTCATTGTAATTCAAAAACAATAATAACGATATTTGCGATTGCAAGTTCTATGAAAATAAGCGTCGAAAATCTAAAAATTTCATAACCGATTTTACTCAAGCCATATCTAGTTAATCGTCAAATTAATTTTAATAAGACACACTTTTGATCTGACGTCCGACTAATGTGAACAGTGGTGCCAACATCAGATTAAAATGAGTCAGATACGAACGTGCTCTAACATAGGGCGTTTGCGTTATACACTTGTGAGATTCCAGGAACCTTTGCTATTGTACAACTTTAGCTTAGAAGTAATATGCACTTAAGTTAATATGAATATCGAATAAAGTTTATATCTATAGAACTACGCGTCACGTGTTTTATATAAGATACTCTTTGTGAAGTTATAAATGCATTACATAACAAGCGGTCAGCGATATCGTCAGTGTAGAATTAAAAAAAATGTATCCAATAATATGCCCGCATGCATCCTACTTACCTACCTTCCCGTCCAAGTACGGTCAAAATCGGTTCAGCGTTTTCTGAGATTATCCGGAACAAACGCAGCGTTGCACACATACAGACAGACATTTTAAATATTGGTTTTTCGTTTTAGTTATGCAATTCCAAAATCTATTTCTTATTTAACATTAGTTACATCTGTATACTGTTAGTAAGAAAATCCGACACTGTGCCGGTGTACTGGCACAACACTAGCCTTACTAAAATGTCGACGTCTATGTCCCCTCACTAATGAACTTTTTTTTGTTTCAGAGCGGAATGATTTATGCATACTCCGCGCCCCGGGGGTGACGCGGTAGTTATTTGGGATTCTCCTCCATAGCGGAGGCATACCCGCTAACTCTCTATGTTCCTCCAACGCATCGGGATGGGGCCACGGGCACGCATTCGCTCTCGTCCGCGACCCCATGATTCTGACACTTGACTTTGTAATGTAAGCGCGCCATTCGCGCCAAAAGATTGTAAATATAAATGTACATACAAATAGGTACAGGATGCTCTTGATAATTAGATCACAAAACGAATAATTGAATAAAGGTTATTCGTGTTTGTATGATGTTTCGATTCTCGACTCGATTAATTGAATATCGAAGAGAACGAATCGAGTATTTGCGACCAATCGAGTTGAGATTGGAATCGTCTAAAAATTGCTAAAACTATTTTGTTTCCGTTGACATTCAAAGAGTTTTAATTACTTTTTCATTCAAACAAAACTTTCTTTTAAAATTAATTTAAAATCAGATTATTGAATAAGTACTTCAATAAAATGTTAAATTAATTGAATAATGAAACAGAAATACTTGAATTTAAAATCCAATTTTAAATCAAAATTTATTACTGTATATTTTATTCCTTTCTGTTTAAAACATATTGCTATCTCTATTTTGTTAAGGATAATGACAGGGATGACGATATGTTTAATACGTACGTGTTTATATAAGTGCTTGTGTAAAGCGAAACCATAAAAATTGTTTTAAAAGTTGCAACTTGTTTATGAAGTGTATGTAATGCTCTAAGTTATGTGAACTTAACGAGCATGAGAACTTTACAAGTTATCTTAACATTAACTTAGATAATACTTAAGAAAAAGTTTTTAAGGAGCTACATTTATTTTAGCGAGAGCGTCGGTGGCTCAGGGTTGAAGCACTTGACTTGCAATCTGCAGGTCCTGGGTTCGAATCCCGCCATGTATCATTATGTTTTTCGATTTCCGATTTACATATGTACATTTATGCGACGTTCTTACGGCGAACGGAAACATCGTGATGTATCCTGCACATATCTGAGAAGAAATTCAAAGATATGTGTGAAGTAAACCAACCCGCATTTGGCCAGCGTGGTTGTCTATGGCCTAATCACCCTTAACTTAGGGTAGGCTCCGCTCGGTGGGGACATGTAGTGAGCTGTTGATGATGGTGATGATTTATTTTACACTGAAGACAGTAGTATTAATATAAATAGCGTTTTTAATGAAGGTTTGAAGCAAGCAGGAAAATAATTTAAATAAAAGAAAATTAGTTTTACATCGCAAGAACGTTTCAGACATTTATAAGGAAAAATAATAATAGCAAATATCCTTAAGTGTTTTTTTGCAGTTTATTTTTAAAATTAGCTGTCGCCCGCAACTGTCGTAGATGAAGAATTAAAAATATGTAATTAGTAGCTATGTGTTCTTCCAGACTATATTTTACATCTATGACAAATTTCAGTGAGATACATGCATCGGTTCTGGAGATACTTTCTAACAAATGTCCATCCATACAAAGAAACATTCACATTTATAATAAAAGTAAGATATATTTGTGTTTTCTAAACTGATATATAAACACCGTCCGGTGGCGGCAACGACTAGTTTCGAGGCCATCGGGGGCCCTTCATAAGGATGGTAGATTTCGCGAACGCGGCCCGTCGC